AAAGACTTCAAGTAAACAAATTCTCATCACATAACTTTCACGATCTAAAAGGTTTTTGGAAAATCACGATCTGGTTAAAAACTAATCTAGGTGCAAGTTCCGTTAAGTTAATCAAATGACGTGAAAAACTTCGTGGACCTTTGTAATCTTGTGCTGAAAATAATTTAGATGAAATTTCTCTCAAGATCGCATCTGCTAATTGTGGTAAATCTTTGGCTTCTACTAAGAGATGAGTTAATTCTGCCATGTATTCTGATAGATGATCAAAGTATTGTAGTTTTTGTAGGATCGAAGTTTGGGTATCTGTTTGTTAAAGAAGTTAAGAGTCAATTTCAAGTTCAAGTTGAAGTAAAATGAATGGAAATTGTGATCCACTGTATGCTTGACCATGACTTTTAGCTGCTGTACAGATTATTTTAAATGCAAGAACTCGAATTGCAGAATTATCAGCAAAAGTTTTGATTTCCAAAATTTGATACACAGTCTTGGTAAAGCAACTAGAGAGAGATTAAAAACAAAGCAAGATCAGAATCAAGTTGAATAAATCAACGAAAAAAAAAGTCAAATCAGTGAAATTACCTAACAAATGCATCTCGATCTTGAGAAGTAGGCCAAATAAAATCAGTTTTTAAACTAAGTGCTTTTAACATAGAACCTAAAACTTCCACAACTTGAGCTGTCCAATCAAATGAAGCATTCTTATCTGAAGTATTCGTTTTAGTACCTTTTTGTTTAGATGATTTAGATTTAGATGATTTTATTTTATCATTTTGATTGGTTAAAATCCCATCTAAACCTCTTTCTGAGATTCTACGTTTTTCACATTCTTGTACTAGCCAATGTAATAAAAATGCGTAATGTTCTAGTGCTAGTCTATGGGATCTGTAGTTTGTATGGTCTGTTGGGTTTGCATCTCGAGAGGTTGAATTGATTTCTACTTCGAAGGCTGATGGTAAAACGTCTAGAATCGATAGTAGGATTGAATGAGGTAGGATTGATGAATGTCTGTGAAAAGAAAAACAGTGAACGTTAGTGATGGTATTCAATAATATGAAGGAATGAGAATATCGAACTTTAGTAAACTTTGAAAAGTTTGAAAGACTTCAGTTGAAGTGATTGAGCTTGATGATTCCGTTAGTTCATCAACTAAGTCTGTATCATCAAAAGAAACAAATAAGTTAAAGATATCCATTAGAATGCTTGATATTGATGACTTACTATGAACAGATTGTCTAATCTGACTGGAATCTAATTCATCAAATCTAGTTTCATTTTCAATCTCAGGTTGATCGATTAAACTGATTAATACGTTTGATAAACTCCATCCAATCGGCATATTAGAAAGATATGGTTCGTTTTCTGTTCCTGTTTCTTTATCTTCGTCTCGTTCTCGTTCTCGTTCTCGTTCTTGCTGTCTTTTTGGTCAAATGGTCTTTTGGTTTTGATATTTGGTAAGTTTCAATAGGGCGCATACAGCCAGATCCCAAGACGCGACTGAAATATCAGAGAGCAAACACTGTTTTCCAAAAATGGATTTAAATTTAATGTATTATTTCCCTCCCAAATTCAAATCGAGACTCCACTCGAGGCTGTGTCCATCATCATTACATAGTTGGACAATGGAATGAAGGAAGGAAATAGATACGTTGCAGCAAGGCTCAAGGCCTCCGCATTTCTGATAGAGGTGAGGAGTTTATTTAAGATGAAAACTATAACTCAAAGACTTTGCAATTGGTATTATCGGGAAATATAAGACTCAGAGACAATGATATAGACCTCTGGTAGCAGATCAAGGGAAGGCAGAAGCAAACACAGACAAAATCGCTGATGCTTTCCATGATCATATTTCTGGTAACGAGCCAGGGAGTCGGGCACATGAGATACTCAGCGGAGATCGACTGCATCAGCAAAAGATGACAAGGTAAGATGAAGTACAATTAACGAAAAACTCGACAAGAAGGAAGATAAGAAAAGCTGAAGAAGTTGTATGACAATGATCCTGATCAAACATCCTCTGCTTCAATCCGTGGCACTGTAGCTTAATCCTTTATAAAATCTGCGAACATAACCTCATAATATATCAACCCAAAATGTCGAATGAATCATCTCAACATCATGTGAAGAGTCAAATAATACGAGATCCTCGACTATCTTTCAACACCTATATCACCAACACGATTTTTTAAAAACTTCTTTTTATATGTAATATCAGTTGGGAAACCTGTGATAAAGAATGAGATCTTTCATAGCTTTAATGGTCGAGTAAGTAAGATATCACCTGAGGCTCTGTTAAACTGACTGAACTCATTTTTTGATTTCTACAATCCAAGGTTCTCAAGGATAGAGAAAATTATGCATTTTGTTCGATGA